GAAATTTTTAAACGCTTTAATTTTCCTTTTTTTTTTTTTTTTTTCTTTTTTTTTTTTTTTCCAGAAAATGGCTGTTCCACCTGCTTATGCCGATCTGGGCAAGTCTGCCAGAGATATTTTCACCAAGGGATATGGTAAATAAAGCTAAAATAAATATGATCTATTGCTGTCTACCTGACTCCTGAAAACGTTAGGATTTTATTACTTTTCTCTAAGAAATATTCCAATAATTTCCCTTAGAATCCAGGGAATTCCTGCTGTAGTTTCATGTTGCCCTTGTTGTCTGGAAAGGGAGAGTGATTTAGGGGTTTTTTTTTTGGACAAAATTCTTCCTGTTGCCCAAAGGACTGTTGTCTGTTTTGAAAGAAAATGCTGTGATGTATTTTTGACTGTTTCCTTGTATCATGAGTAGGATCCTTGAGGTCAGTAGTTTGGTTATGAACCAAATGCTGCTCATTTGTGTGAATAAAGACATTATTACATCCTTTGGTCCAATTTTGTTGCTGAGGTCAGGAGGATTCATCAGTATCTGAAGTGAGTACGAGCTGCGTCGCCTGCTTCATAAAAACCCGTGGCTTGATAACTGCACCCTTGGTTTATATTTTAATAGTTCTCAGGAGATTTAGAAGGAAGTTTAAGAAATAATCAGAAATGCTTTTCAAACTAACATATATATAAAATTCTTTTTTTTTTTTTTTTTTACTCATCTTCTAGGTTTTGGCTTAATAAAACTTGATTTGAAAACAAAGTCTGAAAATGGACTGGTGAGTTTGGAAAGACATTAGAATTCAAAACATCACAGTGTTCTTGTGGTTATTGTATATTTCTTTTTAAAAGTAGAATCCCTTACTCTGCCCTTACCATTTTTCTGATATATCACTCCTTTGCAAGTTACTTTGCACTTGTAATTTTTGTGTAGTGTGTGAGACTCTTCTGAGAACTCTGCAGTATTGAATAACACCCCAAATTATAATGACTAATACTTTCTACAGGTATAACTTTTTGCCTGCATGCAAATATATATATAATGTGTATATATATATAATTTTTTCCCCCTTTTAGGAATTTACAAGCTCAGGTTCAGCAAACTCAGAAACCAGCAAAGTTAGTGGTAGTTTGGAAACAAAGTACAAATGGGTGGAATACGGCTTGATGTTCACGGAGAAGTGGAACACCGACAACACGCTGGGCACCGAGATCACTCTTGAAGATCAGGTAATTTTGGGCTCAAAAGATGCAGTTTGCAAATTAACTTCTGACAATCTCTAATGATAAATCCAACCCGTGAATTTCTTTTCTGTTCAGCTTGCACGTGGCCTGAAGCTGACCTTTGACTCCTCCTTCTCTCCTAACACTGGGTAAGAAGTGAGTAAGCTTAAGTGACAAAAAAAAGGCTTTTTTTTTTTTTTTTTTTTAAGTTTTCCAAAATACTGTCTTGCTTCTTTACCCCTTCTGTCCTAAGACATCGAGACAGTTAATAATCAGCCTGTGTATGATGAAATCATGTCACAGAATCACAGAATCTTCTAGGTTGGAAGGGACCTTAAAGATCATCTTGTCCAACCGTCAACCTCACTGACAAAAATAGACACCCCCACAACAAACAAGGAGCATCATCACTAAACCAGACCTCCCAGCACCACATCAACCCGGCTTTTGAACACCTCCAGGGATGGGGCCTCAACCCCCTCCCTGGGCAGCCCATTCCAATGCCTGAGAACCCTTTCAGTGAAAAAATGTTTCCTAATATCCAGCCTGAACCTCCCCTGGGGCAACTTGAGGCCATTTCCTCTCGTCCTGTCGCCTGGGACTTGAGAGAAGAGACCGACCCCCATCTCTCTACACCCTCCTTTCAGGGAGTTGGAGAGAGCAAGAAGGTCTCCCCTCAGCCTCCTCTTCTCCAGGCTGAACACCCCCAGCTCCCTCAGCCTCTCCTCATAAGACTTATTCTCCAGACCCCTCACCATCTTTGTTGCCCTTCTCTGGACCCACTCCAGCACCTCAATGTCTTTTTTATGGTAGGGGGCCCAAAACTGGACACAGTACTCAAGGTGAGGATGTCATGTACATCTGATTTAAATCTTAGTATTACCAATCCCTTTTTTTAATCCGAAGCTACAGGAAGCAAACTTTTAAATAGGGCGAGTTGAAAATTCGAGTCAGAATCAGGGTGGGAAGAAAAAGGGTTTGTTTGCCCTCCTGTTGCTTATTTCTGGCCGTGTCAGAGGATGAGCTACTGCCTGAATCAAAGCACTAAACGAGTTCAGCTGTAATGCAAAGCTCGACAAGCTCCGGGAGCCAGTTGGCCACGGCTCTTAATTGGTTGACAGAGTAATTGGGCTTTTCTCCCGAGCTGAATTTACCAGCGGAATTCTTGCCGGGCACAGCGAGCTGCGGAGGAGGAGGGTTTCAGCCGCGGCCATTGGATGCCACGATTTATGTGGGCCAGAGGGATTAAGCAGCAGCTGTAGGTCTAAATGTTGGTTTATTTTTTTTCCCCCTCGATTATCTTTTTTTTTTTTGTAAGCAGTTCTGCCAGGGAGACAAAATACCCTGCACAGCAGGTTCCCAGAGCAGCTCCCTGCGCTGGGTCATCGTCCCCGCCGAGGTTTCACCTTCTCTTTTAGATTCATGTCCTGCCTCATCACCCGCTTCCAGCCCACTCCTAAGTCTAAATTAACTAGAGATTTTGGTATTTTTTTAACCAGAATAATTTCTAGTGTTGTTTGATGATTATTTCTTAACTGGTAGGATTTTTAAAGAAATAGAAAAGAAAAAAAATTGTAGGAGAATGACAAGTTACAGCTCTGTAGCTATTTCTTAGGTGCTTCACAGACACCATGGTATCTGAGTGACCTGGTTTGAGGGACACAGGACTAATTTCTCTTCTAATACTTGGGAAAACTGCACTTTTAGAAGACTCTAGTGTCTGAATTTGTGAAAATATTTACTTTACAGCCAGGTCTGGGGAGCGGGTTTCAAAGTGTCAGTGTTTTCGAGCTCCCCAGGTGTGAGGATGAGGAGGAGCGAGACCCCGGCACTTGACCCAGACTGCCACCAGGATTATTTCATACCACGAACATCACACTCAATATAAATTAGAGAGTTTGCTGAGGTTTTCTCTCTCTCTCCCTTGATGGCTGAGATCCTGAGAACCCCTTGCCCCATTGCCAGAGCCCTGAGCCCTTCCCTTCCAAAGCTGCAGCGTGTCCCTGCTGGGAGTGTACGGATTTGTGCAATGGAATGGGCTGGGGATAATCCTTGGCTATTTTATATTGGTTTTGGGATCAGTGTTGGTTCTTTAGTGTTATTAATTTCATTATCTCATCTTATTCCATTAAATCTGTTTGTATTTCAACCCTTGGCTTTGCTTGGTTTTCCCAATTCCCCTTCCCAGCTAGGGTGGGGGCATTGGGTGATAGAATAACTGTCTAAATGACAATTAACTGTTGTGGGTTCCTCAAACCAGGACAGGGAGATACTGTGGGAGGGCTGTTCCAATGGGAAGAGACGGAGTGAGGTTCAGTGCTGGTGTGACCTGGTTTAGGTTGACAGGGAGGCATCACGTGATTGTCTAAATGACAATGAACTGTTGTGGGTTCCTCAAACCAGGACAGGGAGATACTGTGGGAGGGCTGTTCCAATGGGAAGAGACGGAGTGAGGTTCAGTGCTGGTGTGACCTGGTTTAGGTTGAGAGGGAGGCATCACGTGTGAACACAGGACACCTTCGCCCCCTTCCTTCCTCCTCATGGCTGTGATGCCTTTTTCAACAGGAAAAGTCATTTTTAGGAGCATTTGGTGTTAACTTTCCTTTATCCCCGTCGACATGGGTGGGAGAGGTACCGCTGACTTTTACAGAAGCTGCATACGAGCTGGTGCTTTTGGTGCTCCTGCTCTTCGTTCCTGATTTTGCATAACACGAGAAATTCCTGAGTCTGAAATAATAATAAAAACCAGAGCAATCTCTCTGTGGGTCTGATAGAGCATTGAAAGTGTTCTTGGAGGCTGTTTGTGCTAGCTGAAGTGAAAGGTTGATTTGAAATCTCAAACTAGCCTGACTTTTTCCAGAAAGATTTCAGTAAAAGATTTGGTCAGGGACAGATGACACTTGGAAGGTAAAGAGAGAAGAAAAAAAACCTTTTAAATAAGAGTAGCTGAACGTATTAGATGTAACTCTGTTGCCTTGTGAGGGTCTGCACCCTGGGTGTAAACCGACCTGAGGACACATGAGAAAACAGTGTTGTGGCCAATAGTATAAAAAGAAGCAAGTGGCTTAAGAAAGTGTATTTCGGTGTTAAGCTGGCAGCTTTCCAGCAGCTGTGATCATTAAACTCCATGAAGTGTCCTAAGGAGAAAGCAGGGTGTTGGAGCCACCCGAGCAGCCGACCTCCTTAGAGCACAGACATTCCCTCAGGAAGCTGGAGGCAAAGCAGTGCTTTCTTGGCATCTCTCACAGTAAATGGAATTACCCAGTTCACTAGGATTGCCTAAAAATTGCTTGTTTGGGACAGGCTGACTACTGTTGGTGTTCTGTGGCCAACCTGTAAACTGCCACGGTTTCTATCCCTTGCCTGCATCTCCCAAACTTCCCAACCCATCAGATCACTTGGAGATGAGGGTTTGGTTTTGTCACCTCCAGTCTGGCTTGTGGTGCTGCTGCTCTCCAGAACACAGCCCCCAAGGGCTCGGTGGGACACCACACTGCAATTTATTGCTTGATGGCAAATAATTCACTGTATCGTAGAAGCACGGAATGGTTTGGGTTGGAAGGGACCTTAAAGATCATCCAGTTCCAACCCCCTGCCCTGGGCAGGGACACCTCCCACCAGACCAGGTTGCTCAAGGCCACATCCAACCTGGTCAACTGTAGCAGAATTTTTTTGCAAATGTGAAAGGCAAGAAGGTGACATTTCAGGTGGCTCTCCAGGTATGAATACTTTGTGATTGAATTGCCACCTACGAGCGTTTCAAAGAGACGAGATTCTTGCCTTTTCTCTTCAGGAAGAAGAGCGCTAAAGTGAAGACGGGCTACAAAAGGGTCAACTGTAGCAGAATTTTTTTGCAAATGTGAAAGGCAAGAAGGTGACATTTCAGGTCTGTAGTGGAATTAAGGGTTTTGCAGATGTGAAAGGCAAGAAGGTGACATTTCAGGTGGCTCTCCAGGTATGAATACTTGGTTTTCAAGGACTGAATTGCCACCTACGAGCGTTTCAAAGAGACGAGCTTCTTGCCTTTTCTCTTCAGGAAGAAGAGCGCTAAAGTGAAGACGGGCTACAAAAGGGACCACATCAACCTTGGCTGCGACATGGATTTCGATATCGCCGGCCCTTCCATACGTGGAGCCCTGGTGCTTGGCTACGATGGGTGGCTGGCGGGCTACCAGATGACTTTTGAGACAGCCAAGTCGAGAGTGACCCAGAGCAACTTCGCTGTTGGCTACAAGACGGATGAATTCCAGCTTCATACGAATGTGTAAGTATTGGCAGACAGGCATTAAAAAAGGCATTGGAAAGGATTTTGCTGCTTTCGGGAACAATTCTAGGGATGAAGTTCCAGCAGCGGTGAAAGAGGCAACGGTGGATTTGGAATTATTTATTCTAGATGGCAAATTGCATATTTTTTTTTTTAAGCTGGATTCACGTTCCTTAGAATTTCGTGGGTGAGGGAGTGGGTGACGGAAGGGACTGGAGCTCAGTGAGCACCCCAGCACCCAGTGTCTATCTATTGAACAGATAAGGATTATTAGAATCTAGTAGTGGAATAATAAAACAAGTGGGTCATAAAAGTATTCCTTGTGAAAAGTTGAAATAAAAGCCATGCCTTCCTTTTGCACATGTCAAAATCAAAGAAAGTGGTGGTTTATCTGTAGGTGAAAGAGTTCATCAGAGGATGAAGAAGAACAGCCAGTGGAAGAGATATGGACCAGGTTTGGTTTAGTCCTGGAAGGGATAGGGTATAAAAGTTTGTTTTATTTTTTAAACTCCTAATAATCTCTTTACACAAGCAGTTTGTCGAGAGTGACCCAGAGCAACTTCGCTGTTGGCTACAAGACGGATGAATTCCAGCTTCATACGAATGTGTAAGTATTGGCAGACAGGCATTAAAAAAGGCATTGGAAAGGATTTTGCTGCTTTCGGGAACAATTCTAGGGATGAAGTTCCAGCAGCGGTGAAAGAGGCAACGGTGGATTTGGAATTATTTATTCTAGATGGCAAATTGCATTTTTTTTTTTAAGCTGGATTCACGTTTCTTAGAATTTCGTGGGTGAGGGAGTGGGTGACGGAAGGGACTGGAGCTCAGTGAGCACCCCAGCACCCAGTGTCTATCTTTTGATTATTAGATCTAGTAGTGGAATAATAAAACAAGTGGGTCATAAAAGTATTCCTTGTGAAAAGTTGAAATAAAAGCCATGCCTTCCTTTTGCACATGTCAAAATCAAAGAAAGTGGTGGTTTATCTGTAGGTGAAAGAGTTCATCAGAGGATGAAGAAGAACAGCCAGTGGAAGAGATATGGACCAGGTTTGGTTTAGTCCTGGAAGGGATAGGGTATAAAAGTTTGTTTTATTTTTTAAACTCCTAATAATCTCTTTACACAAGCAGTTTCCCTTTCTGAATGCATGAGCAGTGGGGAGCCAGGACCAAATTCCACGAAAACCCTAATTTCTCTGTCTGCTGCTCCTCTTAAAAAAAGCAATTTGTGCCTTTAGGGAAGGCAGTTTTTTAAGATTAGACAATCCCTAATCCGTCCCCCCCAGTCCCTCCCCTTCCCGTTCCCTGGGTGATTGGATAGTTTGCGTGTGGCAGGGCTATTGCAGGCTGTTCCCGTCTGGGGGATGAACAACTGCTCTGCTCTCCTGGACCTGCCTCTTCAAAAACCTTTTCTCCCCTGTTTCGTGCTGTTTCGCAGAGATCTGGTTTAGGAAGCTCAAAGTGTCTCACAGAACAGTTGAACCTCCCCAGCCCAGACTGTGCTTGAAATATTCCCAAAGCCCCAAAATATGTCCAGAAAACTCTCCTCAAAACGCCACGCGGGGTCCCCCTCCACTCCCTCGCCAGGAGTTTATTTCTTCAAGCACAATGACTTTCAACTTTGTGTATTATAGCAGTTCAAAACATTGCATTATTGGCTTTGCTATGAAACGCTGTAATTATTATTACTCTTAATTAAAGCAAGAGCAGAAAATAACTCTCTAAGAGCAGCAGGGGCTCAGGTCTGTCCTGTTTCTTGGAATCCAGAGCATTCTTAGGTTGCTGTTACTGTGTGTGGAGGATAAATCATCTTCAGGAGGACGCCTGGTCTGTTTATTTAATAGTCATGTTCTACCAACTGAGAGGCAAACCATAAATGTGTGATACCAATAGAAATCTTTATTGGTATTAATAGACGAGTTAGGTATCGACGTGTTTTAGCTTTGAAATGTGTCAGAATTTTTGTATAATGCCAGACACAGCAGTGTGGGGGACTCCCCCGTGGGGTGCTTGTATCTGGAGGGTTCAGTGTCCCCCAAGGACGCTGGGACAGAGCTGATAATTTCAGGAGGTGGGGCCTGAAGTGTCGCCTTTTCTTCCTGGCGTTACAGAGAGCAGCTGGGGACTTAGCAAGTTATTTGCCTTAATAGTGCTTTAATATATTAATTTTCAATAGTTTTTTTTTTTTTTATCTACATCTCATTTTTTTTATCTGATTTTTTTTTTTTTTTAAATCTACATCTGAAAAGTGTTATCGTTACTACTGGAATTCAAGTTTGACTTCTTAATCATTATTTTCTAATAATAACTAATGACTAAAGGGAGGCAGGGCTGGATTCTAGTTGTAAATATGACTTTTCCTTTTGTGGGAGCCTTGCACAGAACGTGCCTGTGTCACCAGCTCTCCTCCCTCCTTTTTAACCCCTCCTTTTCTGGAGAGCCGAGCACACGCAGCTCTCTGTGAGCTTCAGCCTTGTCTGAAGTAAGTATTAATAGCGTTTTGGTTTTTTTTTTTCCCCTGGAAGAATTGCTCTAACCATTTCAAAGGCTGCTTGAATTTTTAAATAGGCATTTTGCTACTGTTTGTGCAAGTGGGATGAACAAAAGAACGTCAGGGCACAGGGGTAAGAGTGGAAAGAGTCTAAATCCGCCCCTTCTTATAATCACCAAAGGTACAGCTGTACCGTAAGGACTATTGCAAATGGTACTGATTGGCCAAAAGTGATAGATTTGGACAGTAAATTGGCATCTTCCTTCCTGATGGAGTTCATCTGTGCTTGGTAAAAGCCTGCTGCTCGGCTCGGTGATGGGGGTACAGCAATATAACATACATATACATAACATACAGCAATAACTATTATTTCAGAGACGTGCAGACAAGAATAAATCTCTCTACGACACAATACTGCCCATCTAGAGAGAAGGGAAAATGGGAAGCTGTCATCATTAGTCTATTTTTGATAGTCTTTCATGGCTGGTTTTTTTTTCAGTTTCCTAAGTTGTTTGTTGAAATATAGTAACCATCGATGAATTAGAGCATTTAAAAACAAGTTCATCACCAATCTGGCCTAACGTCTCTCTCTTTGTTGTTGCAGGGATATTAAATGAGGTGTAAGCAAATGTTCTGCAAATATTACTGGGAAAAAAAAAAACCAAACAAAAACCCCAAGATGATTGTTTTGGGGTGCAGTTTAAAACTAATGTGTTTTTTCCAGGAATGATGGAACAGAATTTGGAGGCTCCATTTACCAGAAGGTGAATGATAAACTGGAAACTGCAGTGAACCTCGCCTGGACAGCTGGTAACAGCAACACCCGCTTCGGAATCGCCGCCAAGTACCAGATTGACCCAGATGCCTCTTTTTCCGTGAGTGCTGCCCCTCGGCATTTACACACATTTGAAAACAGGCTCCTGGAACGCGAACATAAAGCAAATTTTACATCAGCAAAGAGCAGTTTTGATGCAGTTCCGTGGTGTATCGCTGCCATCTATATCTATATTACAAACACGAACCAATTTTACATCAGCAAAGAGCGGTTTCGATGCAGTTCTGTGGTGTATCGCTGCCATCTATATCTATATTTGTCTCGGTTTTGGCCTCATGAAAACAGAACTATTGGATTTTCCTTAGAAGTGACCCAGAATGTTTTATCCTATTATTGGGCGCTGCCTTGAGATTGTAATTTCGAGGCAAAATTAAGTCTAGATTATTCCTTTAAAAGATGAAATCCTTTACCTGCTTAAAAGGCGTAATTTAATTTTCAAGTAGGAAGGACTTTGAAGAAAGACACCAAATTATTTACATACGGTATTTTTTTCCCCTTTAAGGCTAAAGTGAACAACTCCAGTCTGATCGGGTTAGGATACACTCAGACTCTAAAGCCAGGTAAGTCTATGCAGAAGAAAGTCAGACATCAAATAAGTGATATTTTAGTCTGGAAATATCAGAGGGTTTTGGGGTTTTTTTTGTGACAAAACATGAATGTTTTGTAACGGTGCTGGTTCTGCACTTTTCCAGGGACGGCTCTGTTAATTGTGGATGTCTGTTGATTAGACACTGCCATCCACTGACCAGTCAGACACTTTTTAATGTTGATAGAAACATTAAAAAAAATGTCTACAATTAGGCATTTCGCAGATAAGTAAACGTGTTTTTTTTCAGCCTTTCAGAGGCTTCCTATTACTGTGTTTATTTTGCTTGAAAATGTGACTTTCTCAAGGTCCCCGGGACAATCTTAATGCTGTGAAATTGGTTTTAATGTCGTCTAATAAATCTGCTGCCAGAATACCAAGCAGATTGACATGAGATATTACAGTCGACGGGGCTTGGGCCTTTTCATCCCTAGATTTTAAAGCAGTTTGGAAAGGTGGGGATGTATCAAGGTCCCCATTTTTCATAATCCTGGACTCTAAAATTAGATTAATCAGCAGACCAGCAGCGGTGACCTGACTCAGAGCTTTAATTACTTGGAGTGATAAAAAGCCGAATCTGTCACCGTCGTTTATTAGAGCTTTCATAATTCAGAAAGATTTCATATCTGCAAATTGTTTTAAAATGCCCCGTCCTTACAAGGCTAGCCACCAGATTACCCGACCCTCACTAGCCAATAAATTAAAAGCAGCACCACAGACTCTGCACTTGGCGAACGTAAGGCTCATCCCAGTTGTAACAGTTGTCTTTTCTCTCATTTTTCAGGTATCAAACTGACGTTGTCAGCTTTGTTGGATGGCAAGAACGTCAACGCAGGTGGTCACAAACTTGGTCTAGGATTGGAATTTGAAGCATAAGGAGTGCTCCTACAATCACGAATTGGGAAATACAGCATAGCTACCTTCAGAGTATAGTGTACCTTTCAATGTTCTATGTCCGGGATGCAAGTATTGCTAAGTATCAGTCCTGCTAGTCCTGGGGAAAGACAGCTAAGCTTTAAAAATCATGTTAAAGGAGTGGAGACAAAAACATAAAAAAATTTTCCTAATTCCAGACTTTTTTTTTATTTTTTTTTGGAATGTTATTGCCCATCACATCTGTCAGCTGCCACGTGATAGGAAGTAGGAAGGTGTTGATTACCTTCACTGACATATTGACTGCAACAAGGAATATCTTTAATGTGCTATAAAACCCGAGAGGTTAAGAATCGCTGACCACCCTATTGCACTGTGAACCCCGCAAGCAAAACGCTCCGACGCTTAAGGTTTCAAGTCCCAATGGAATGTGCAAACTTGTCTGAAAAAGGGATTATTTTTTTTTTAGATTTTATTTTTTTTTTTAGATAGGCATTTCATGAATGGTTTTGGGTTTTTTTTTTTTTTTGTGAAGTTACACCTACAGCTGTCTCCAGGATGCTTTAGGTTGTCCACCTTGTGTCAGCCCGTTGCAGAGGAGGTTTTGGTGTGACTCAGCCAATTCTACCTGCCCCGTGTTGTGGTTCCTTTCCCTCGCACTGACTGGGAGGCTTTGTAAGGCAGGGCCATGATCAGGGAGGAGTCTTTGTAACCGCGATCACATAGTTGCATCACTCAATTTAAAATGGACTTTTTCTTTTACGACCACTTTTTTTTAGCAACTCAATGGGTACATTTTTAGAGAGTCTTCCATTTTGTGTGGAACTAGACCCCAAAAACGCTGTACTTGACACTACTAAAAATGGATACAAAGAACCCAAACCCAACTTGAATAAAATATTGAAATGTCACCTTTTACTTTGTCTTTATCTTAATTGTGAAAACAATTTCATATTGGGTCGGTCTCTTCTGCCAAGTCACAGGCGATGGGACAAGAGGAAACGGCCTCAAGTTGTGCCAGGGGAGGTTCAGATTGGAGATTAGGAAAAATGTTTCCACAGAAAGGGTTATTTTGCCTTGGAATGGGCTGCCCAGGGAAGGGGTTGAGGCACCATCCCTGGAGGTGTTTGACGTAGTTGACATAGAGCTTAGAGACATGGTTTAGTGATGGTTTTTATCAGTTAGGTTGAAGGTTGGACTAGATGATCTTAAAGGTCCTTTCCAACCCAGACAATTCCATGATTCTATGATTCTATATTAATTGTGGGCTCCAGAAGCCCACAACTGGCAACATCTTAGTACATATTTTGTACCACACAAACAAAAAGTACTCAGTAGATTTAAGTTCCAGACATGGCTCGCTAAGCTCTGGTGGAGAAAACAAGGTAAGGTGACTTGTTTATCTTTCTTTCGTTGCAGAATTCATGAAGTTGAATTACCTTTCCATAAGCAAATAGGTCGGAGCAAGGAACAGTAGAATGTAAGGAGAAACTTGTGGTTTGGGCCAAATTGGCCAATCTGAATGACAGCTGGC